CGCCATGACTGGGAGTTGACCAAGGGCTGACAGCTCAGTGTCACACGACCCTTGCAGGTTATTTAAAACCAAAAACTATTTTTAAATTGTAAGATAATTTTTGAGATGATAATGGTTGAGTGATAAAAGATTTATTAATTAATCCAGGAAGGAAGAGTTGGATTCATGCCATTCCTAAGAGTATTTGCATGTAAGTAAATATAACAAAACCAACAATAATTGGAACTCAGCTCTCCACTCTTGTGAGGAGAGTGGCCAGACATCTAGCAGGATTAAACATGTCAAAGAGCAGATGAACCTTCTTGTTAGCGTCAACAGCCATCTAATGCAATGGGGTTGACTGGTCTCCATAGTTATGTATGCAGCCAGTGTAGTGATAATAGCATTGCTTTGAGAGGGGCTTCTTAGACTGATAGTCAACAACCAGGGTGGAAAGTTCCCCTGATGGAATCAATGGACATGTGTCAAAAGTGAGCCTTCAAGATAGAGAACATCAGCTGCAGCTTGACCTGGAGAAGGTGCTGGGCATTGCTGGGTTTAGTTACCCAAGATATGCTATGTATAAATGTATCTCTGGCTTTCAACCCAGATATGTGAAGAGAACTGACAGGCTGTGTAGTCAGCTTATGACCACACCCAGTCATGGGACTGATGATGTAATAATCAACGTGAGAACAATAGTTCAAATAAATTGAAGTATATTGATAAGTTGTCATCTCAAAAACAAAATACAATGCATGGGCAATTTGACTATGAAGCAAACTCTTCTGATGTGCTGCATCCCTTCAGGTGATCATGGTTCTTGACAAATTCTTATCACTTGTGGCCCTTAGCAGTTTTTCACCATTTGCTAAGCTGTTCCACCATCTATTCACACAAGCTTGTCAGGTAAGTGGCTAGCTGACTTCCTTTCCTTTTTCTTTTCTCTCTCAACACACACTCAAAATATGCTCCATGAGTGTTAAGTTTCCAAGCCTTCCTTCCTCATTATATATCCAAGGGATTTTAGCTGTCTTTTCCTAATTCTGATTAGATGTTCTTTCCGTTACAATTTTCTTTAAGACTTCCTTGTTGCTTACTCGCTCCATCCTTATTAATAGATGAAACAAAAATATTGTTGCATTAAACTTGGCAAATAATTATTCAATGTGGGAGACATGGTGGAGTAATGGATAGAGGCTCAGATTGACGAATTGATGAGCTGAGGTTGAATTCCAATTGAGTTCATGTCATTCACTTACATGCCAACACCCTTGGGAAAGATATGAATCCACCTTCTCCCTGCCACAATCTAGGGGTAAAATAGCAGGACAGAATGGGCCCTATAGCCTTGGTCAATAACCAGCCTAAAAGAAGAACAGTGAACTCCTGCTGCCTTGTAGGTTCTGCCTCTAATTTCTCAGAGGAAGGATGGGAGTAACCTCAACAGTCCCGGTACAAGAGGAAGCAGTAATCCATTGCACTACTTTGCCATGGGCCTCAATTGTGAGATGGAGGGGAGTAGTGATCACAACAGTGCCAAAATGTGCTAACTGAATAAATGATAATGATTCAATAGTATATCAAAATTTTATTTGTTTAGATTAATATTCAGCAAGTAGTGAACATGAGGAAATGGTGAGAAATATAAAGCTATGATAATTTCTGTTTGAATTTCTCAAACAACTCATATTCTCATCTTTGTTGTTAACATAACATTTCAGCCATTGTGCTTCTCCAACCTTCTTCAAGTGTCTGTTGACCTGGGTAAGTGAAATAAAAAAAGAAAGAAACACGGTCGCTCATTTCAGTAACTTGCCTGCTCTGACTGTCCTTAGAAACACCGTTAAGAATGCCTTACTCCTCACTGCCATGGCATTGATTTCGTTCGTTCTTTTATTGTCTTGCAAAGTAGATCTGGGTGTTTGGATTAAATTCACATATGGATATGTGTCACTCTCCAAACATCATGGTTTGTCTATTGTGCATTCATTCTACTCAGATAAATCAACCTCAACTGGTTAATGAAAAGCTCAGTTTTGAATCACACCAAAATCAATTCTGCTTACAGCTACAAACAATGCATGTTGCCGCGCGAATTCTTATTGTGGCAGGTGAATGACACCTTCTCTTGACAATTCCTTCACGGAATTTCAAGTGTAAGTCATTATTTAATTGATAGGAGTAAATTCTTCTGCTGCTGTCCATAACTAGATACATCTCATCTTGTTCTCTTTTTAGTACTATTGCTTAGTTCTTGCATGCTCTGTTTACACTATAATAAAATAGCTGAGTGGATTAAAGCATTAGTTTGTGAATTTGGTGGCATAACTTAGAGTTCAATACCTGTGACAAGTTGTGCAGACTTAGAAGAAACAGGCTGAGCAATAACTGAGCAGTTTTATATATATATGAAAATAAGGGTTTTTTTTTTTCTATATTCCACATGGGGAAAAACATAACAAGAAGTTTAAAATGCAATTTAATCTACAAGGGTAGATGTTCAGGGATGATATATATATATATCTGTTTATATGTTATTTTTATAGATACAATTTAAGTAAATGCTGTTTTGAATTAAATAGTATTAATTACATTTACTAGCTGGAATGTTAGTGAAATTTTGGAGAGGAATCGAACCAGCTTTCCTATATAGAAACTGTCATTTGATCTGACGTGCTATACCATTTACCTACAGAGAAGCATCAGCTTAGCGAAGTCCAAATTACTGTATATAAACAAAATCTTCAACAATTTTTCTCAATCGATTGTATCTGCTCATGAAATGTAACATAAACAATGATGACATATAATGAAATTTTGGACTTAATCCATTTCATTATATATATATAAGAGAGAGAGAGACAGACAGACAGAGAGAGAATATATCCAGATGTGGACATTGAAGTGAGACCAATCTACCCTTGTAGAGTAAAATAAAGGGTTCAATTCAAGATTCCCTGAAGGAAGATTATCCAAATTGGTAGACACCTGACAAAGGTCAAAGGTTAAAACAGCTGAATCTTTGAGATAATAACAAGGATGAAGACATTAGTCCAAATGTAAGTAATATTTGAGATTTTACAAGTACAATGCAATTGCAAAATTACTTAACATTTCTGGATGGCACATAAACTACTTTCCCTTGGGTTAAACAAAAAACATTGTCATACATAAACATACTAAAGAAAAACATTTACATGTTTCTCTCGAAACAGATTCCAATATTTGAACATAACTGAAATTGTTCAGGGCGTATTAATTAACTCTAAAAGTTTATAGTGTTTAAACAATAACACAGGTGTGAATGTCTAACTATAGAGACGTTAACAAAATGTTATGGGTAGGTAAAACTCCAAATATCTTCTTTAAAAAAGAAAATATTATTTTTAGATAGTATTATTAAAAACAAAAAAGTGACACATCGCTCTTTTAAAATTCCAAGCTGTCATCAGATAAAAATAAAGAGAAAATGAAAGCAGATATTTTTATAATAAGTTACAGATTTATACTCTAATTATCGTCTCTAACCTGTTAGTCCCTACACATTACAATCATCTCTAGTTCATAAAAAAATCTGACTACTCTTCTGAAATCAATTAGGAAGTAGGTAATTTTGTTAACATATGTAATTAATGTCAAACAATGAAAGGAATGTCATTTCAAAATGGCTGAACAAGAAAAAAACAAAAAAAAACAAACCTTTTTTGGGATTACATTCAGATTTTAAAAGATGAGCTTTTTATTTAAAAAAAAAAATAAGGAAGAATTCTTTTTATGTTTGATCCCCTGTCAGACATATATTTTCTTTTTTATGTAAGTTAACTTAGTTAATTATAGTTGATTATAGTTACTAGTTAATTAGTTGATTATAGTTAACTTTTAGTTTTAGTTTTAAAAAAAAAAAAAAAAAGTTTCCCCTTAAGTCTTAAGGGGAAACTTTTTTCTATATAAACTAAGTTAACTTAAATTAGAAAAAAATTACTAAAAGTTAAACTAAAGTCTATAAAAGGGGTGGGGAAAATTGACGCGAGTTTTTTTTGTCTTCTTTAACAGAACTTAAGGCTTAAGACAAAAAAACTCGCGTCAATTTATTCCCCACCCCTTTTTATAGACTTTAACTTTAGTAATTTTTTTCTTATCTAAGTTAACTTAGTTTATATAGAAAAATAAGAAATAGTGGAAAAGTTTGAAAATTTAAATGTAACCTAATCTTTCAGAAAATATCCTACAATACTAGGTCGAAAGAGTGACTGAAGTAGTTGTATACATTTTCTACTGGAACTGTTGGTCAGTGTTCAAATCAAACCCAAATAGCCAGTGTTTCGAATATTAATTCGAAATGATCTTTACTGTCTTTAAGACTTCTTTTCATTACCTTTTTGAGCTTCAATAGAGGGACTGGGACGATTATTTTTTTTGGAGAATTTTTCGTCCGGAACATTCTTATTTTACAATCACCCTTTTTATTCACATTCAGGAAATTTACTTCAATCCCTGTCCCCGTACTGAAAAACTAAAAGTGAAAATTTAAGGAATTATAAAAATTCAAAAATAAATGCCAACTACCCCGTCTATTTGAAAGTCAACTCAAGTGTAAGTTAGTAGTAGTTATTTTTTTTTTGTTTACGACTATACTAGTTTAATTAATTGAAAAAAAAACAAAAACACAAACAAAACAATTATAAAATTGTCAAAAATATAATTAAAATTAAATTTTAAGTGCGTAACCGTCACTAATTTAGGACCAGTTTCTCGATTTAGAAAAGCATTATTTGTTTATTTCATTTATTTATTTATTATTACTTTGTGGCTCTGAGCCAGACAAAATGAGTTCCGCATGTTTGAAAGTTTTACTTTTGTCTATCACTTGTTGATAAGATTCAAATTATTTTTTTAGTCAGAGTCTTAAAAAGCATACACGATCACGGGATCGAAAGCTAAAAAAATGAAAAATACTTTAAGAGGTCCAAAGCTAGTAATAATTGGATCAATGTAGGTAAGAAAAACGAAAAACATACCTTTTACCCATACTGGCCAAAATCGAGACGAAAGCAGCCAATACCAAAGTGACCACGTAGATCACTTCGTCCCCGACTCCTTCGATAAATGTGCCAGCCATGACCACAAATGTCTATGAAGAAAACTATCACCTTGACAACTTGAAGAAAATAAAAATAAAAGTAAGAAACAATCACGTGACAAATGTACTACAAAAATAAAAGCAAACTTTTGTTTGGGGAACAAAGATTTTTTGTTTGTGTGTCAGTGTGGTGTATTTTAAGGGCGAAATCAATTTCTCTTGTACCGGTTGGATAACACTAACAGTAAAAAAAAACAAAAACAAAAACAATTGATTGAAACTTATTTCAATAGTTTGAGACGATAAACCATAAAATTTACTTTTCTCATATTTTTCCTAGTTTTTAAAAAGTGCGTATAGCTTTCTTTCCTTCATTTTTTATCCCATTTTATTTCACTAAGTGAAAAAAGTTTAGTCATTGTAAAATAAAACGTTTATTTTAAAAACAAACAGTAATGAAATTCTAGTAATGAGAGAGCAATTAAACAGGGTTTTTAGCCCAAAGAATTGTATTTAAAAAAATATTAACTAATATAGTAAGTTAACAAATAGTAGCTTTTTAGTTTTTCGTTTTCAACGTTTTTTTCTGTTTAAAAGCAGTAAATTAAATACACAAAGTAAAATTGTGTGGCTAATATTAAATCGAAGTTTAAGTAGCACCAAGCAACTCCTTAATACCTGTCCTTTAAGTTAACCGAAAATTATCAAAATATTTACCGTTTTTTGACTATCAACTTCGATAAAAAAAAAAGAACAAGAAAAATTAACGATTACTTACTTTTATTTTTAAACGTTACGTCGGCTTTTCAAACAATAAACCCCTGTTTAGATGTACAATCGAATATTAAAAAAAAACCTTCAAGTGAACAGAGTTTTTTTTTTAATCGATATCGTTTGTTGTCAAAGAGAAAACAAGCAGCATGTAACTTTTTTATCGATAAAAACAGACAATCCAATTTTTCCTCGGGTGTTGCCTTAAAAAGGAGAAAAGTGTTGGTTTTGACTTTTGCAGTTATTTGATGCTATGGATTTTTCCTAAAGATTCTTCACGTTGCTTATAATTTTTTGAAACTATGCAATAATTAGCATCTTGTCCAGGTGTCCGTGGCCGTATTTATGAAGACTTTTCTCCAGGAGGGAAGACGAATTCGTCCACCTTTACCTCCCGGAAGTGACCTTTTTATGACCTCCCAAGGCGGAGCAGCAGTCGACAAATAGTTTATAATCTAAAAAGAAAATTAAAATTAAAATAATTTTTTTGAAGTATTATAAACATAAATAATTCTTCAATAAACGACAGTGATATGACCTTTGACTATACTGATCTGACATAAAATTGAATATAATTTAAAAATTATCCGTGTGACATGTCAACATAACCGGAAATAACCAGAGTTACCTACCTTAATGTTAGTTGTTTATTTTTTTAAAATAGTAAACGATCAGCAGAAAGTGTTGAACTGTAAGTAAGGAAAACCGTAAGCTAATAAAAGGGATCAGTACTTTTTTAATTATTCTTTTTTAAAAAATGAGCGATTATAAAACCTCATTGATTATTTTCAAAAGAGAAACCCGTGAATTTTAAGTCGTATTCAGTAGTTTTTGATACAAATAACGAACAATTTTTTTTTTTGTAGGAAATTATCTAAGTTGATGGTATTTTTATATAGTTTGTCTTCCGTAATTAGAAATGTTATATCGTAAACTTTATGTTGTGTCTCAGCCACTGTAGTAGGAATCAATATGTCGGAAGGTGAACATGACTGTTTATGAGTGAGCAGTTCCAGTGGATATAATACCGACAAGAATAGCACAAACAGAAGACCAAGCCATTAAAAGAATTGTTTAATCTGGATACAAAATAATCAACATGGATCGAACATATTCATATCAAATGTTAATAAAATGGGTAAGTTTTCTTTCCTTTTATTTTAAAGTATTTTTTCTGTTACGTGTTACTGTTCGTGGTCGTCAACTAAATTGTTTTGGCACAAATATTTATGAATTGTCTGTACTTGAGTTTCATAAATCTACTTGATTATTTGAGCTAAATTAAAAGTGATAGCCAATAATATTATTGCGGATATTATTTGATATTCTCTCTTTTTTATAATAAAAAATCTTACTGGCGTTAGAATCGTTTTGTTTTTATTTCTTAATTCTTTCTTTGCATCTTTGAATGTATGACTCGACTTTAACTTTGTCACAAAAAAAGTTTTTTTTCTTCTTCGTTTTGTCTTTTCATTAAAATAAAATAAAAAAACATTAAAATTAAAATGTATAAGTTTATAACCTAAAACTTTAATTCTTAACTTTTCTGATTACTATATTACTAAATTGAAGGAAGCGAATTCGTGATTTGTGTACTGTGTAGTGTATGGCTATGTGATTCCCAAACAAAAACAAGCCATTCTTAAATTCAATACACAGATAACCTTTTATTTTTTAAAGTTAAATACTGACAGTTTTTCATTATTTATTTTAAAAAAATAAGTTTTTTTTGTATTTAAATAATATTTTAATAATTTGCTAAAATTTAATTAAAAATCAGTTTAAAAATTTTCTTTTTATATTTTTTAACTTTAACATTGTGCTGCCCAAGGAAAAAAAAATTCTTTTTCATTTAAAAAAAATAAATGAAGAATAGATTTCAATTCATTTATTTGTTTTATTTTATTGATCAGATCAATTAAAAAAAATGCTTAAAAGTCGGATATTTGTATTTTCATGTGTCTATAAAAGTATTTTTGACATTTTTATTCAACCAACGTTATTCACGGTAATTAAAACTTCGGGCTGAAAAAAAAAATTTACGTAACGTAACGACAATGTCTAAGCAAAGTTTAAATTTTTGTTTCTTTTGTAAGTTTTTTCAAGTTAAATGCATATATATATTAAAAAATCAATTAATTTAATGCTCTGTAAATTTACATTGAGCACTATTTTGTAAAAATAAAAATATCTAAGAACACCGGATATATATATTATATATATATATATAATATTTTTTTATATATTGGGTAGGGGAAGAAACGACAATAATTAAATTTAATTAAGAGAAAAAAACTTGTGAGAATAATTTTAAAAAATATTTCTTTTTCACATAAACTTGTTTTTTGAAAGTGATTGGTAACTTGATTGTTTTCAAGAGAAATAATCGCTAAGAAAACGTAATTAATTAAATTAAAATAAATGTTTTTCTTAAGCTTTTTATTGTATAATAGGCAACAAAATATTCGATGTGATTTTACTTTAAAAATCCAAGTGATTTACTTTTAGTCTTTAAAACTAAAAAGTATTTGTCCTCTAAAAGTAAAATCAAATACCATACATCGTTTTTTTTCTAGAGCTTAAATTTTAAATCGGTTATATTGTATTGAGAGAAAAAATTCCTTTTTAAAATTTAGTATATCATTTTTAACCTTGCAAATGTAGTGTACATTTGAAATCTTTTTCCATCTTTAAAAAATAAATGAAAACAAAAAAGGCAATTTGGATCCGCCTCCTTAACGAATAAAATGACAATTGTCGCCACCATCATCACGATGATCATCATTATTATTCGTTTTTTGATGGTATTAAGAAAAATACTACTTCAGCATTAAAAAACAATTTGTGTTTCATAAAACGACAATCCATATCTCACAAATTGTTAATCAATTAAAAAAAAGTATTCCTGAAAAAAGTTGACGAGTTGTGTGGAAAATAATTATTGTTGGGTTTTTAATTTTTTTCATGAAAAAAAAGTATGGGAACTAGTTTTTGTTGTAGAATAAAGTTAAATAAATAAATTAAATTAAAAAAAAATTAATTATCGTCCTTTGAAATGGAATTTATTAAACTATATTCCCTCGTTGCTGTGGAATAAATAATGTAATTTTTACAGTAGTTTTTTTTTTTTTTTTTTTTACAAGTTGCAATTAGTTTTCATTTTTCAAATATAAAAAAAAAAAAACTAACTGAACCCAAACTAAGACAATCAATGGACCAAGTTTTATAAATGAGAAAATATTCACAAAAAATCATTTTTATCATCTCTTTAGACATTAGAATGTTTTTGTTCTTAAAACGGTAACCTATTAAACTATTTTTTTCATGAAATTTCAACACTTTTTCTTAAATCATTTGGACGGTACAGTAGTGAGAATTTTACCTCGTTTCAGTCTGGGGTTAAAAAAAAAATCAAGAAATTATTGCATTTTTAGTCGATAAAATTATATCACTGAGATTTCCTTTAATAAAAAACCTCTTAAAATATTTGTTAGTATCGGTTTAAACAATTTTCTTTTTCTAAAAAATGAACAGGTTTTGTTATGAATTGATATGACTTTCACTTGTACTATCAAGTCACTAACAATCACCGAACCAGTCCGGCATCTTTTTGTGAACCGCGCTTAACGAAGTCAAAATATTTGGAACAGCCTTTACCGTAAAATAATTCATTATTGTTTTCCTTTCCTACTTATTTTAATTATTTAAGAAATATTAAAGTTTACTGACATCGGCTTCTCAAAAAATGTCTGGTCAACTTTATGATTGACTTACATATACATCGAAACTTTCATGCCTTTAAAAAAAAAATAATAATAATAATTATTCACTTCTTTCCAAACCAAACTTAGACATTTTTATCTATAATATAAACTTTTAAACCATTCTGGCAAGTAGTGTGAGTTGTTTTTATTTTTTTTATTTACGCTTGATTTTTTTTTTTTTTTTTTTTGTTTTCCGGGTTATTCCCGATTCGATATTTTTTGGTAATGAAATGAATGAATGTCTTTCATTATGATGCCACGTTTCCAAAAAAATGAATGGCTTGGTGTTGGCTTTCTTTATCTTAATTTTGTTTTAAATATTTAACAATTATGTTCATTTTTCTATATAATTTGGATTTGACTTTATCAATTGGTTTTGTTTGCATTCGAAAATTTTACAAAATTATTTATTTCATAATTGAACTAATTCTCTTTTTTGTTATTGTTTAGTCTAAAGAACCCTATTTCAAATGATTATTTTACATGAGATGAATGTTGAAATGC